GTGTTTTCGAAACGTCAGCACCTATACAGTGTGGTCCATGAAGGCGCCTTTTTTTCTTTGGAGGATGGGGAGCGGGATAATTTATCTGGACCTCGCATCTTCAATCATGTTAATTCAAACTATGGGCGCTCAGCCCTCCGCTCAGCACGCAGATGGGAGACCTATGCCAAACGAGAGTCATCCACCTACGCTCGGCTGAAGTTCCTGCACCGTTGCCTTGATGAGAACGTCTTGCCGAAATGTCTCTGGATATTATATCAGACGCGAATGGCCGAGCACTCAGCAGCGGTGAGAAGAAAAGACACAAACTCCTACATTACAGCTCACTTAATAGGAGCCGGCCATATTGTAAAGTTTAGCGTGACCAAAATCCTTGCAAAAGCTGACAACCGCGTGAGCCGCGAACTGCTCGGGTCATGGTTTTCAGGCACACAGTTAACCAACAAGTGCGACTAACTGCTGTTCCAATACTCCCTGTGGAGACGATGTCTGAACAGGAGAATCAGTCACGTGGGAAGGACCGGGCCTAGCAACAACACCGACGACAGTTGTCGCGTAATTATCAAGCCCGCAGCCAACACGCATGATAAACTCGCGGCATTTGGTGATTCGAAGGCCCACTGCGAAGTCACCACCACACTAACTAGGACTCCTAGCGGTGGTAAAGGGAGCTGATGCTTATAGAACTATAAATTGTGCGTCATGTGTGTATATATGATCCTAATCTGAGCACGTATCCTACTACTTTACAGTGGCCTACGATTGAGGATTATCGACAGAATCCGAAACGTCAGGCAAATGCAGTTCTTGTTCCATCAATCGCATCTTCTAGTTCTAAACTGCTTCCTGGAACTTGCATATTCACATCTATCGGCAAAACAGAATACTTAACGAATGGAATGGAATTTTTTGTTGAAAAGTATGAAAGAAGTCATCGTCATCAATTTTTCTGAATAACAGTCTTTGACCTAATTTAGGATTAAACGAACGGTTGCACAAATTGTTAGCAGACTATAATTAACGGCGAAGGCCGGTCGATCAGTAGAACAAACTGTTTACTGTTCAGGGCTGTTGAACTCTTGTATGCGTCTATCCTTCAACCAGAAAAAAAGGGCCTCCGGTTCTGAATGTTGTCCTCAATAGGGGAATTCACAAGTAACGTTAAACAAATGCTTGCGTCTGCACAGAAGACGCCGATCTGCATTTGTTCTCGAGGTATTTATTACTGGCAGGTTCTTTAGAAACACTTTTGCTACTAAAAGCCCTTTGCAGTTACAAGTTGAGTATGTGCGCTTTCAAAGTCGTCAGAGACGCCGCTATGCATTCTTGTCAGTCTTTCGCATTTGATGAATTCGCTGCTGGAGCTTTATGCCTTTTGACATCAGCCAATCAACGCTCATCGCACACGCAGTCCTTTAGGGGGCTACTAAACTCGACCTTAGGTAGAGGCAGCTTGCGACAACAGCTTGCAGCTCCACCTGTAATTTCTACGGCGTCATTCGAAATTTGTCCAACTGAATCTGCCTTCCCTGCCTTGTTATTTAGGAAGCGTTTGGTTCACGACTATCTCGGATTTGCTAACTTGCGTTCGCTTCTAGGAGAGCATGGGAGCAACCAGCGTTATCGTGTATTTGGACAGCATCCTAGACTTAGCTGATACCCGCCCCTGACCAACAAATTAGTAGAATAATACTACGCTCCATCCCTACCCCCATTGTCTCCTTCAAACATGTCATCAAGCAGTCCAACCACAGGAAATAATTCGCTTTTGCCACTCAAATGGAAACCATCCGTTGCTTATAGATTTATGTTAATTAACTATTTTGCTTCGATGATCGTCTTGGTCTTTCTCATTGCTCTAATATGTGCAAGACATGTTTTGGTTCGACTTTTTCGTCGCCAAAGTCTTATAACAGGAAAAATGTATCTCTAATGGGCATTTACGTACTCAAACTAAGACGCAGAACGGTAGTCGGAAAAAGCACAAAAAGCGCCTATTCAAATGAAATTTTCACCGACACTGAAAGTCATTTAAACGCACATTACGTGTTGAAATATATATTGGTACACGCATTTTCAATAAAAGGTTATGCAAGAGGTGTAGACAAACCAGCTACATTGCACTCGGCAGACACAAGCAGACCAATGCATTGGAGTGGAAGTAGCGATCCAGCATAATCGATAGCGCATACTCGCACAGCCTCACGAAGGAGCTGTGTACCTACTACGAACCAAAGAGGTATTTGTAGGGAGCAGCTAGAACCAACTCCTTCGGAACATGTTTTGGTGAAAACTGATACATGTGTGCACGACGTTCAAAGTGGAGATCCAGCTTGGTCATGATTAAACCAAGCCAGGCATCGTCCACTGGAAACTGCCGGGTAAAATGCATAGCGAGTGCGATTTCCTGGAGCACATCGGCCCCAAAGACAAGAAAGGTGCTGGGTGCATAATGCGCGTGGAACGGCCAAGGCACTTCGTGCTTTGACAGCGCCCACTTACCATTTTTCTTGTCGAAAGGCGAACGAATCACTCTGGCTTCATCAAATGGTATGCCCCAAGTCACGCGCCGAATCTCTGCGTCCGATAGGCCATCCAATTCAGCCTTAAGATGGCTTGCATTGAAGGCACAGTCGTCGTCCATGAGAATGAAGACGGGCGGTCGGGACTGCTGGTGTGCAATGTGTTCCCAACAGAGGCCGGCAGCCCACTGGAAGGTGTGGAATAGCTTAAGGCTGAGGTTGTAGTAGGTGTCCTCATAGTCGCCCAGCACAATGTCACCGTGGAGTTGAACCTCCCTAGTCAAGTTTCTGAGAACCTCCGGCCTCTGACATTCCATCTTCTCCATTGACTCGCCCGCTCGCTCCGGTAAGGAGAGGTTAAAGCCGTCGCGATGGAAGAACCGACCGCCGCTGTTTCGAGGCAGTCCAACTGAAAAGACTAGGGCCATGCGGAAGGCAGACTCGCACTGGGCTTTATCAGCGTACGTCTTTCGTAAGAGCTGACGGTCTGCAAAATTGAAGATGGAGGACTTGATCATCACAATAGCATCCAGGATCCTCCGGACTACCCGATTCGGCACGCAAACAGTCGAACTGATGTTGAGGAATGTGACTGTTTGAGTGAACATGGGGGCCTATCAATGAAACAGGATACAATTCAGCAAATTCGGCGAAGGGGAAGTGCGTTCAAATAAATATGTATGTACAAACGTTATATCAATGGGAACCCGTTGAGTAGTCTACAACGAAAACGCATTATAAGCCTGTTTTTAGAAACACTTTCATTCTCAGACCATCTATCGTACATCAAATAGTGGCCTGATATTCGCATTTATTTGTCATTCACCTTTAGTCCAGGAACAGACAATTCGAGTTCGTGGAGGTGTCCGAGGTTATTTATCTGGTCTTATTTCGAATGCTTGTGCGCTTATTGCTTGAAGAGTAGACTTGTC